TCCATGAATCCGACTTATATGACGCAGTAAGGAAGTCTCAAGGGTTGCGTATAAAGGGGCACAGAGGCCATTTTCCTTGCGATATGCGTCTGTAATAGTCCAGATTTCAGGATGATGTCGGTGTATCCGCAACAATAGGGAGTGCGAGTGTATACTAAAGTGAGATGATCAAGTTGGTTCGAGACAATAAGCAAGACTGAATAAGCGTCTTTGAATCGGGATAGAGCTATGTAACCTTGTTCATAGCTTGACAAGGTCTTTAATTTGTTTAACAAAAGCTAGATGACGGAAGAGTGGGAGAATCAGTGACCAGGTAGTATGAAGCGGATAACGACCTCTTCTCGAGCTTTCTGACCCATTCCAATTTGAATATCAACTGAGATGAAGTATTTCGCCATGTCCAAATCACTGTGCTTGTATTGTGTCAAAATGGTTACCCAGGGTATCTAATGCATTGTCTGCAAACACTGGGCTTTTGATCCAAAGCGTTGTTCGCAACTTACTGAATCGCTTTTTAAGACCTACGCTGAGCATAAAGGTTTACTATGGGTATGCAGATATTGCATCGATGCTGCTGCTTTGGCAAGGAGATCGCCGCAACAAACACCTGAGAGATCTTTGTTCGTCCCTTTAGCTAAACGTACCAGAAAGCGCAGCACAGTTACTCTCAGTGATGCAAAATATACGAATAGGAGGAGGGAAAATTCAAATAGCCCATCTCCTACCAGTAGCTTAGACTCAGTATCTTCAGTCGTGCCGTACAACGTTTCATCGAATGGGCACCCAGAAAGCGCGACTAGTCAATCCAAAGGACTACCTGTTTCTGCTGCAGTTGTTGACCAAGTAGTCGCCGATGATCCACCGTGGACCATCTAGGCCGGAGATCTTCCGCGGTGATTCCGAGGACCACCGAAAGGCTCTGTGCATCTTCTGAAAACGATTTACTCCATCCATGCAACTGTTTGATGGTTTTTCATGCGCCGGAGTCTGAAAATTCCGACCCGCAAAGCACTTCGCATTTCTACAAAGTTTGATCGATAGGCACTTGGACCCCGATGAGTAAGGCGTTCGTATAAAAGGTGGATTGCAACTGGGAAAGTGGGTTCCAAACGTCACTCGTCTTTTGCGAATTGTCTTTGAAAACATCACTCCTGCTTGTCTTCTATCCCGCTTGTGGCGTCTAAAAGGTATCGCGCGACCAGATCTCACATTGCAGGAAAGAAATTGCCTTCGAAATGCCACCATTGAACTTAAACGACGGATACAACAAGGTGAGACAAACTTGCAGGCTGTAAATTTTCGGGTGGTGCACAAACGTCAGCTGATAAATAAGCCTGTACTACTGATGGCGCGCGACCCAATCTAATTTCCAGATTCATTGTGGCGCTTACGAACGTATGTAGTTTCATCAGTAAATTTGACGAAATACATCTCTGGGTAGAACAATATTGAGCGGACATCTTTTGTCTAACTGAAACATGGCTCCATGCTGATATTACCGATCCCGAAGTTCACATCGATGGATACACAGCATTTCGGTGTGAAAGATCCAAGGGTGCTCATGGCGGCGTATTGTTGTATCTAAAGTCCGGTACACGAGGAGTCATTGCCACGCATTACAGTGTAGACGGTCTGTGCGAACAACTTTGGTGCAAGGTAACTGTTGGGCCGAATAAAATGAATGTGGGTGCCATATATCGGAACCCGGCAAACAGTTCTCGCGATTGGATCGACGTTGTACATCAGTGTATGAACTGCCAGAATTTTCTGTTGTTGGGCAACTTTAACTTACCGCATGTTGACTAGTTACAGTATAGAACCTTATCTGGCAGCAGCGTCCTCGAATCCAATTTTGTTGATAAGATGACGGAAATGAATGCTGTGCAAAACATCCAAGAGCCGACAAGCCAGCTTTCGGAGCAACCTGCAAGTTGTCTTGACGTACTTTTTACAAACGGTGAGCAGCAACTCGAAACCATTAGTATTTAAAACCATTGGGTCCAGTGACCACTCCACAGTTTCGGTTGCCCTACGTTTGCCCTGTGTAGAATCCTCACAACTACCCTGTCGTAACATCTGGAGGACTAACTGGGATCGCTTGCTGAGCACTGCGGAACACATGGAGTGGTCTCCACCCTGGAATGATGGTATAGAAGCGTGTTGGTAGGTGCTGAAACGAAACTTCGTTCAGTTATTAGATTAGTTCTCCCCTTAAACACCAGTTATATCTCAGAGAAGGTCGCCCTGGTTTGATAGGGAATATGCTGTGCTGTCGAGACGACGTGAAAAGTTATGTAAACGCAACAAGCAAACACGTTGCGCAAAAGACTACACAGCTTATAAACCACAGCGAAACCGCTGCAACTCCGTAAAACTACAAAAGCATGCAACTTACGAAGCAGGTCTATCAGCAAGTGCGAAAGAAGCACCCAAGAAGATTTTTGCATACATCAAACTTAGGCTTAAACCAACTGATGAATTACCTGCTTTGGAAAATTCACTTGGTGAACTGTTGACCTCCGACTCGGACCGAGCTATAGCACTTGAGTCACAGTTTAAGTCAGTGTTCGATACGGACCTTCCCGCATACGAATATAACTAAAACGGCGCCAAACTGTATGCCATATCGTGTTCTGAGGATGAAGTCATGCGCTTGCTAAGTGGTCTAGATTGCTCCGAACCACCGGGACCGGATGGATTACATCCACTGCTTCTAAAGAGAATGGCACCTATTGTTGCACCGACGGTGACGGAATTCTTTAATGCCCCTTTGGCACAAGGAACCATTCCACGAGAATGGAAGAGGGCAGTCGTACGACCGTTCCCTAAAGGTGGAAACGAGAACATGCTAGAAAACTATAGACCAATTTGTCTAACACCAATATTGGCCAAATTGCTGGAGGAAGTTGTCAAGGGGACACTGCTTGTGTTTGCTGAATCACCTAATGTGCTCACAGCTTTACAGCATGATTTCCTGGGAGGACGGTCGTGTACAATTAATCTCCTGACGTCCCGGCAGAGTTGGATTGAAGCAGCCAACGAAGGTAACAACGTTGACGCTCTGCTGATCGAGTTGAGCAAAGAATTCGACAGAGGGAAACATAAGATCTTACTATCTAAATTCATTGCTTACGGAGTGGACGGAAACTTGTTGAAATGGATGCACTTTTTTGTACGAACAACAGTGGTGCGTCCAGGTCAACAACTACCGAACAACATGGGTTACTGCTTCTAGTGGGGTGCCACAGGGTACCGTACTTGGCCTAGTACTGTTCTTGTTTCATTTAAATGATTTACCATCAAACCTGAAATCTATATGTGCACTATTCGCCAAATAACTTGAAGGTTTGGAGGGAAATCCGGACAACAATTGACGAGGATTTACTCCAAAGTGATCTTGATTTAATATCCTCATGGGGGTCGACTAACTACCTTCCGTTAAACCCTGAGAATTCCGAGTTACTCCACATCGGCAAGTGCTGTCGGGACAGGACTTACGTTATCAGTGGACGAAGCCTGCGCCCTGCTGAGAAAGTGAGACGTTGGAGTATTATCCCGGTGAGATTTTAAATCATCGGACAATACACACTAAGTTTACTGTTCCAGCATCCGCGTGCTTTCGTCACTGAAGCGGACGTTCCACGTTTGGTCGGAGCAAACTGTTTTCAGTCTGTAAGCCGCCATGATACGCCCGCTGTTGGAATACAGCGAACCGGCCTACTATCCGTGTGTGAATGTGTCAGCTTATACGCCGTAACGGCGCTTCGCTGCCGCGCGACCACCACCAGTCGCGCTCGGGCTGAGTATACCGCGAGGACGCCCACCCCTACGCGGATTCGAACCGGTGACCTTATGGTTGGAAAGCAAACGTGCCAACCACTCGGCCACCGGCCGACGTACAAATGGTCAGGTGAAAAAATTGGAGAAGGTGCAGCACATAGCCACCCGTCTAATCCTCACGCTCTGTGGCTTATCTTACCAGCAGCGGTGTCAAAAACTGCAGCTTCACACACAAATATACAGGAGGCTAAGAATTGACCTCATTACAACCTTCAGAATAATCCATTTGGGACACTCCTCAGCTGAGGTGTTTTGCGTTATCGACACAGCAGTCACTTGAAGGCATGCTCAAAAACTGGAAGTCCCGTATATGGGCAATGTGTCTCACACTCTTCGTTTTGCTCGACGAGTGATACATATCTGGAACTGGTTACCAAGTTATGTTGTTCCCTCAGATTCCATACAGTGCTTCAAACGAAACCTTCACAAACATTTTACAGATCTGTGCTTCGATCTGGGTATTATGTTTGACCATCTTTCGTCGCGTGGTTATGTTCCGGCTGCATTAACAGCATGAAAGGACTGAGACACCTAACGTTGTGCTGATTTTGCAGTTGTATATATGTATTTTGCGTGCTACCAAGCGATCATAATTGTGACTTTACGTAAACAAACATTCCGCATTGGTGGTTTATTGTTTCTACCATACTTATGATGGAGATGAAACAGATTGTTATCTTTTTCTCCTAAAACACTGATTCTGATATCACGTATTCTAGAATGTTGTCATCAAGACCGACTTTACTCGGCCCGAAACATAATACGACTATAAAGAGCATGTTTGTTATTGTCTCAAGAATGAACTGCTTGCTTGTACTGATATGTGGTACTCGGCGATATATGGAGTGAGGCAGCAAAAATGTTGCCTTGCTGATGCCATCCAACTGCCAAATGTTAGATGCGTGTGAGCATATAGCGTCAGCAACCTAACAATTATGGCTTGTTTAGGATAAGCAAAACGTGAACTTCACGCATAACACTAAAAAGTTCCCCATTGAACTTCAAGGGTGTGATAGCAAAACACCAGCACACCGTGTGATGTACTGTCGAAATTAATCGCAAACGTATGAGAGTAAGGCTTTGTGAAAAAGTGCAAAATTCATGTAAACAATAAATGCACTTAGGTCAAAGGCTATATAATTTCTTGAAAACTCACGTACCAGAATCACGCAAGACTTTGAGCTCAGCGAAGGCGCAAGACTCAGGGACTGATATGGATTCAGATTCGAAATGGAAGATGCCGGGATGATCATCATCCAGAACGACGACAGTAGCTGTACTGGGATCAACAAGAATGGGCTCGACCAATGACGGGGAATGAAGAAGTTTCAAATCACTCAAGATGATGGTAAAGTGTTCGTCTTCCTCAAAAACGTCATCGTCGATTATACTTATGGAAAACTGTTTATGTGTCTCGCCTGATCTGAAGACAAGAACCCCTGTGGCAGGAACATAGTCCTCGTGGGCGACAGCAGTTCCGTCGACAGTAGAGTATTTGACAGAAACAACGGCATCCAAATCCCCACCAATTCGGCTGACTGTGACTGAAAACGACCCGACGTTCTCCATCACTGTATAGTGTTCGGGATTAAAGAAGAATCTTTGTACGTAAGGAGGATACTTCTCACTTTTATCTTTGTTCGCATCAGACGATAGTTCACGTTCAACTTTGCTTTTTTTGATCACGTTTCCACTTCCTGTTAATTGTCTCGTAGCCTGCATTCTATAGTACGCTCTTGATTTAGGACCTTTGCTCAAAACCTCTAACTGTGCCATTTCTTCAAGCTGCCTCATGCCAATGTTTGGATACTTTTTACGCAGCTGTTTGATTGCATCGACATAATTCAAGGGGTTACGCTCAAACTCTAGGGCACCATCTTCCTCGTCGGGCTGCTCGTAGGTTACTTGTTCCATATGATTACCAACCTCAATTTCACCGTCGACTGGTTTTAACATTCCTGCAGCGCGATACTTTTTTTTCATAAACTTTCTGAAGAAAATTTTTGTGTCTGCCAAGTACGCACATACGACGATAACGGGAAAGAAGATGAAAGTTAACACGGCTTCCCACACTTCCACCACTCCAGGACTAATGACAGCAATAATGAGGTACAACCAAAGGTACGCGAATACACTCCAAGAAGCAGTGATGAAAAACACACTTAGATGCTTAATCCGCCGAACTTCCCCATTAGGAACAACTACGATGCAAACTCCAATAATCACAAACAGGTTGAATGCAGCTGATCCAACTATTGTACCTGGTCCCAGGTCACCAGCTTCAAATCTTTTACCAATAATCTCGATTATAGAAAGCAGAATCTCAGGAGCAGAAGATCCAAGAGCCATAAGTGTTAGATTAGAAACTGTAGCATTCCAAATTCGAACGTAAACGATTTGCACTTCTTCATTTTTCTTGCGAATCTTTACTTCCTTTTCCTTCGAAGTAATGACCTCAATAGCAGCCATAAACCGATCGGCGATTATTGACACTCCTAAAAACAGGTAAAGCAAGCAGGCAAAATACACAGTAGCTCTAGCGGCCTTATCACCAGCAGTCATGCCGGTTGAAGGCTCCCACTTCGGGACGATGACTCCATCGACACATTGCGTTTTTCCACTAGATAAACAAGTGCCATTGACGAGTTTCTCCCCAGTAATGCTGACAAAATTAAGCACGAAGCCTAGGGCAGGAACAACGAACAGCATTGCGGACCGAAACTGCAGAAGGGAATGTACGTTTATCTGGACACAAAGGCCAATTTAGTGGCTGCGAATAACATGAAAATAACACACCGGTAAGGCAATTTGGTATAATTCCGTGACATCGCCGTTTATTATTTAAGCTCTATATCAGTAGTAGCCCCAGCAGCATACGATAAACATAAAAACCTGCGTTAGATTTTCGTGTGTAATTGTTTAGCTCCCCAACCCTTGTTTTATTTCACCACAATTCATCTTACACTTTAACACATATCTTTGACCCCAACCACCCTGATGTATGCTAAAAATGCTTAAATTTTTGTGGCCATATTTTTATTTTGCTGTCTGCGCTACAGTGCTTCAAATTTAATGCTAAATTGCACTCTCAAACTATATGCAGCCCTTCCGTTCAGACCCTTTTGGTCACTCTTTATTACCTAAAATGACACCACCTGCAAAAGCGACCTGTATTTACATGTATCGCATTTCTTACATAATAAGGAATAACTCCTATATACACTTTTATTTATTTCATCATGCTGCGCGAGATTTTCCATTGCTTAGACGCAAGCTTCACCTTGTAAAGACCTTAACAAATATTGCCATCTAGCAATGCTCCAACTATTTTCCTAGTACATGTCATTTACAGCGCTTATCCTTACCCCACACAAATTCCTTCGACACGCTTGCTAGCTATGCAATGGCACGGCTTTACCACTACTTTTATCGGGTCCGGATGATAAAACCCTCCCTCGTTAAGCGAAACAATGGTCTGAAATTCCGCGAAATATTTACGTACGTACTTCTGAGTCATTTGATCAAAAACGAACGATCCTGTTGGATCATAAGATATTATGCTTTTTATAGCAACAATTTTAATAGACGGCAAGCACTTTCGCTTACTACTGGTTAATTAGCCGCGGGTACTACAACAACAGATAACTTTAATATTACAAATAAATTTCAAGTGGAGTTGAGAACAATACGATAGGATAATCTCGTGAATGCATTTGTGTAGCGTTGTAATTTTGTTAATTAGGTCAGCTTTAGAGATCGTAAAGCATAAGAGAAAGGCGGTAGCACACCCTGTCCAATCAATTACTGCTCGCATTGCCAGCCCTTTAGTCCCTGCCGGACTAGTTTATATGAAGTGTGAGGGAAGGGTAAGATAAGAATACAAGAGGAAGAATGTCCGCTAAATACTCTTATTATCAAAGTACAAGAAGAAATATGGACAAACAAATTAAACAGGTATACAAGCCGCTTAGGAGAAGAGGAAGTATCGGTTCTGCCACCCATGAACATCTGACGGACGCTCCAAACCCTCAGCCACAGATCCATTAACAGTGTGTAGCCGAAGCGGGTCCCAACGTTACTTAAATTTGCGCGACAATCGAGTTTCCCTCTTTACTTTGTCGGAACGCAACGTTTGCAGCTTCAATGAATGATATCTGTGGCTAGGTAGCGTGGCAGGATACATAGCCATTGCAAGTCTGCATCGGGCTTGAGCTTTATTATAATGTATGTGAGGAACTAGCCTCCTCTAAGCCTCCGGTAGGGCATTGAGTATATACCCAACCTAAAAAAACTTTCGGGATACTTTTGCCTCCGTAGACATAGAACTAACCTAATACCCACTCTCAACTCCCTCTCACTTTCCATCTTGTCCCTTAGAAGGCATGGTAAACAAGCATGGATACGGTATTCTAAATAGGGTCGCACAAAAGCTGGGAACAGCTATATGAAATACTTGCTGTTAGCACACCCGTAAGAGCGGTGACTAAACCACATAACACGCATAGCTCTACAAGCAGCATTCCACAGATTCTACCCAGCGTGAAGCACAGTTTTATGGAATACGACAAGCTTAACCTGTTGAGTGGCAAAAGGGATTCCACTTCTTCCAAGTACGTAGCATGTGGGGACTTGCACCTTCAACTCGGAGGACAACATATTTAGCCTGGTTCGTAAGCATCCACCACAATGATAGCCAATTCCAAACCCCATCGAAAGCATTATGAATTTCCTTAGACAACCAGGGATATCCTGAATAGCCCAGATCTTGAATTCATCGGCCAAAAATTGCTAGGGAAGATCATTGAGATCATTGACATAAAGTGCGAAAGCAACTACCCTTAACCCGCGTCAAGCGTGAGGCTATTAATCAAAGCTTGTCAAGGCGAATAGCAGTACCACACGCATACACACTGTTATTTTCCCACTTGAAAACAAGGCATCTATTTAATGGTGCCCAAAAATATCCTATTCGACCTCAACTATATTGAAGGTCGTTGATGTGGAAAAGTATGAAAACGTTGTGTACGTTTGGAACTGTATTAGCGGAAGTAAAAGTTCACTCCGGTAAACGAGCTGCTGTTACCTCATCAGTGTCTAACTACTTGAGTACATTAATTGTCGCAGGGCGAAGGATGAACCAATAGGGAAGCAGCGAATTAGCGGCTATGTGTGCGTGTCTGGGGTTGTGTGTACTTGTATTTCTGGACTAGCTGGCGAGCGTGCTAACCGAATACACTACAGCACTTCTCCGTTTAATTATGTTCTGAATCGAAACCATATCTATTCGGTCGTCTTTGTGCTCTGCTCGTCCCACGGAGCTGTGTGCTTTGCGTCGGTTCGACACTGAAGTTTGGTGGCACATGCTTCGTTCGTCGGATACTTGTGGATAATCTCCGGGCATTGACGGTGCGCTCCCCTTCTAGCCGGTAAGTGCCTGGCCCACATGCACGCGTTATTCTTATCGGATCTGACAACGTGGGCTGTCCTTTTGACGTCGCGTTTGCCTTCACGCGCGAGAACGTTCCCGGTTGAAGCGGCGTAGTAAACTTCCGGTAAGTGGTCGGCTAGCGATGACGACGATCTAACTCGTCGGAATTGTGAGGTACAGGAATCGGAAGTGCGGCATTCAACTTCGTCCGAATGGCACGCCCAAGCATGAGTTCAGCTGGCGTTTTGTATTTGGCACCGTGGGGTGCGGTTCGATAATAAAATAGTGTTTGTAGAACTGCATCCTCCCAACCGGTACCAGATAAACGAAAAGCTTAGATACTCGCCTTCAAGGGTAGTTTGGACTGCTCGCCCATGCCGTTTTCCGCTGGATTATACGACGTTGTACAGGTGTCGGATAGCGTGAAGTTGAAGGAAGGAAAGCAATTCGTGTCTTGTAAATTGCGGCCCGTTGTCCGTCACTATTTTCTCTGATAATCCGAACTTAGGTACATGTATTTCAGTCATCAAATGATGCTGGCAAGAGTCACATTCCCACACAACTGGACTTCCGGTCACTTATTGTAAAAGCAGGTCGTCACCGAACAGTTCCTTTGATGCTGAGGCGCTAAGCTAATTGGATCCATGATGTCAAGAGCTATCTTGTTCCACGGTCGCATAGGATAGTCAATGGGTTGTATAGGGAAAAAAATCAGCGTTAAACGCTTGTCTGCGCTTTGACCTGAAGAGCAGTCATGAACAGGTTTTTCTATTTCGTGTGACATCCAGGGCCACTAAAAGCATGTGTGAAGCTTACGTTTCGTCCAACGATACTAGGATGGCGTTCGTGAGCTCATAGCATGGTCATTTGTATCAAGCTCCTGGGAGCCCCAAACTTTTCGCCAAGCGTTAAGCATCCAGCCATAAATGAACGTTCCTGACGCAACATTTGGTACGCAGGAAACTAGCCTGTGATCTTGTTATTTTGTGGTTAACCGTTTGGCAGAAATCCCTGAACGCGGCAGTGTCTCATCTTGCTGAGCCGCCTTCTGGAGTTCTTCCATAGTCATAGCTGAGATTGTTTGGTTACTCAGGGAAGGCACCAGTAACCTCACATTGTCATCCCTATTATTTTCAGGTTTGTTGAGTGGCAGTCGAGAGCGCCCAGCCGCTACTAACATGCATACAAGCGACGTCTCCCAAATGGCCTGATGCCATTTGTTCCCTGAGTAAGTAAGCTAGTTAGCGCTGCGTGGTCTGTACGAAGAGTGAAGGGTCTTCAGAACAAGAACAAATTTCACTTCTCACTGGCCCAAACTTAGGCAACAGCTTCTTTTCCCGGCAGAGTAAGAAGGTTTTCCGCCGACAATTTTCTGGAAGCGTATTCAATACCCTTTCATACCATTTTGGAGTTGGGATAGTATAGCAACTAACCCAAGGTTTGATGCAACAGTAGAGACAAGCGTTTGGCACGTCCCGTCGAAAAGCGTCATGACTGGTGTGGAAGCAATGCGGCGTTTTTTCTCAACAAAGGCCTTTTATTGAGGGTAACCAAAAACAAATTCCCTTTCCTCCTTTTTCATTTCACGCGGCCGCTCATCAATATACGTGAAACCCGGCAGCCAGCAATGGTTGTAAGAACACATATCTAGAGAATGTTTTTTCCCAAGTCAATTTGGAAGCGTCTTGGGAAAGTAGACATTTCCGAATTCGATTATTGGAGCTTCCCCTAATCAACTGATACATTAGCATTACGCCCTCGATTTTACTTTCCGGTATGGTTAGATACTGGCAGTGTCGTACACCGCGAATGTGGCCAGCAACAAAACTGTCTAGAATTTTCGATTGATGCAGTTTAAGTCCGCCGAATTTGAGGCAAGCGATGAAGAGGTCTGTACGCTGACCCCATGACTTGTCCAGCACCTCTAGTGTTTTCGTTAAGGAAGCTAGAGTCTGCAGCTCCAACGCATCAACTTGACGTTGTCCCTCATCACCGAGTAGGCGTCTGAGAACTTGAGATTCTGGCGTTCAGTGTAGTTAGGAGCCGCAGGTAGTAGGCCGATAGCTTATAAACAGGTTTTCCACTGGGCCCATGCACTTTCGGTAGGACGTATGGTCGGAGCAGATTACTAAACTGTAGGAGGATGTGTAATACCTCGGCATGCCTTCGTAAACCGCGATGCCAGGGTTGCATACGAAAGATCAAATGCACGAGCCGAAGTAACAAGTTCAATCCGTCGAACGAACTACTGTAAGCTGATTAATGTCTAACTAGGTGAATACATTAATTGTCGCAGGGCGAAGG